CCAAATTTTAGAAAAATCGAATGAAATCCAAGGGACTTTTAGCTTTTTGAAGTTGAGGTTTTAGCGGCAAAAAAGATTCGAGAAAAATGCATTTCTTTGTTTGGAGCCGGAAGCTGCAGGGAGCCACGATGGTGTTGGCCAAAACACCTTGAGCCTTCCATTTTGTCACTACTTGTCAAATTATCTGTTGTTCTGGACGATCGCAATGTGGGATCTTTTTACAATGACAAAGGAGCATGACAGATGTGCATATATTAAGCGACGGTACATTTCCGGTCTTGATAAAGTCACGATTTCGATTTTTCTCAAAATTTTGACTTTTAATTCCACTCAAAAATTGAAAGAAGTTTCACAAACATATGAAAGATAAAAGCTTAAAATTACGAAATGAAAAAGAAATTTTTTTTCGAGAAATTCGTCAATTTTCGCATCCTAATACCTTAATTTTGACGAACGTTTTCCCTTTATTGACTTAAGAGGAGTTTTATATGAGAGGGCTTATATTACTGGGGGAAGGGGTGGGGTGTTTTTTTTGAAGGCCTTCTATTCGAAATATATACAGTCAATTCAAAAAACGTTGTCGTCGACCGGTTCAAGCCTACGCGACTGGACCGAAAGGAATGTGGGTAAAAATCACTGAAGCGGTTAAACATTCGTTCTGAATTAATTGTTCCCGCTAGTAGTAAAGATAATAATGGCGAGAAACAATCCATAAAATGCATGTCTTTGGGGTTAGGTTAAGAAAAACAAAGTAGTTATGATTCAGTTCACAATTCCGAAAATATGAGGGCATTAAAAAGACGTCTCCTTCAACACTTCCCGCTCGCCTACGAAGGTTCGTGCTGTAAACCAAACATAACTTGTCAGATAAGCTAAGATTATGTACTCAACTTGGCTTCAATGATTGCTATCCAGAGTTCCTTTCGGTCCAGTCGCGTAGGCTTGAGTTGGTCGACGACAACATTTTTTGAATTGACTGCATATGAAGTCATATATGGAGTTCGACCACGCGGCCATCGCGTTTGCGGATTAAAATTCTAAATTTGTTTGCTGTCAATCACGAAATGAATAATGTACACTCGGTTTATAAAATAAGACTTTGGTGTGAAATTCAACTTGTTTGGCGCAAAAAAATGTCCCGTCATTTTCAACAACAACAACGTTTTATTGTACCTAGAATTACATGCACATTTACAAACAAAATTACATAACTATAAGTACTATTTTGCAACTTTTTCGAAACATTGTTCTTCGTTAGTTAACAACAGACGGTCAGTATCTTGTCTACGTCTTCGTTTGTTCGCATCGCGGAAAGGGGGGGGGGGGGAGGAGGTTGTTGTTTTTTTGTTTTTTGTTGTTGTATTTTTGGTTTGCTTTTGGTTTTGGTTACAAAAAAGGGCTTTAAAGGTAAGGCAAGACTCAACTTGAAAAATATCTGGGGTCATTCATCAAGTGTGAACCCACTCAAAGCTGTAAACTTTTAATTGTGGCCAAGAACAATTTATTTGTTTGTCACTCTTGGTTAATCTAATCCTTCAGAAATAGCCTTTTCTACTTTCCCACTCAACGAGGGGACGAGGTTAGAACAGATAATGATGTATTCTTCCTGTCTCGTTCTTCAATCTTTTGTTGTTCTTCTTCTTTTAATTCTTCATCTTTATATTATTTTACTTTTTTACAGCTCTATCCATCAAGTGTTATTCCTGCGAGAGCGAGAATGGAAACTGTGTGGAAGGGGAGAAAACGTGCCAAACTAAATATGATAGGTGCCTTAAAGGGACGAAAGATAATAAGGTTTCTAAGAGCTGCTCTACCAGCCTTTGGTGCAGTACCGTCAAAAAACTTTGCAAGAGCTCAGGAGATTGTGAAGCCTATTGCTGTGACAGTGACCTGTGTAACGGAGGTGTACCCTTGAAGCCTGTGACGTTCACGACTCTCCTTGCCATGACTCTTGCCGTTGCTAAGTATTTGATGTAACCATGACAACGGGATATGACAAAAGAGCAGATCTTTGTCAAGCACCTTAACGTAGCTTTTTTCAATGTAGAAAGTGTTTGTCATTTAGATTATGGCATCAGATCATCATCGATCATAATCACATTCTTCAATATAAAATAAGGTAGAGAACAATAGGTAT